GAGCAGGACGAGGGTCCCACGCCAGGTCTCCAGGCTGGCTCGGCCTGTCCCGGGCCTGGTGTTCAGAGTCCCGAGTCCTCGGTGCAGCCTGCCTTTCACCAGGTGTCTGCTGAAGGGCTCCTGCCCTCTCATTCCCTCACACTCCAGCCAGGTGGGCGGCATTCAGCACCCGAGGTCCGACGTGGCGGTGTGTGTCGCTTGTGGTTCTGGCTTGAATTGTAATGTGGGGCAGTCCGCCGTCTGTCTGTCTGTTACTGATCTGACATTTCGCTCAGCTGTTGTCTGCATGAACGATGCTGCTGGGCCGTTCCCTTAGCTGCCTCCTTAGAGAAAATCGTGCAGATGTGCACCAGGACGCTAGTCACCCTGAATCCGACCAGATGTCCCCGCTCAGGTGAAGACGTCGGCTGGGGCCTCTCCTTGAAGACGTGACCCCACCCAGTTGTGACAGGGGTCACGGTGACCCCAGTGTTTCTCTGTAGCTTCACCATGGAAGTCCCCGTTCTGATGGGTCAGCTCTGTCCTCGCGCTGGGAGGGCCCCTCTCCTGCCTGGCCTCTGCCCAGCCCCTGGGCTGCTCTCCAGCCTTGGGCTTCTCCCAGGTGTGGCTCACCTGGCCTGTGCAGCACAGGTGGTTGCTGTCCTCTGGTGCGGCCCAGCCACAGGGCAGAAATTCTGCTGACGAGGTTCCGTGGCGCTTCCTTGGCATCCGCAACCCTCACTTGTAGATGTTTAGCGCTCTGCTGTCTGTTGCTAGGATAAACCTGCCAAACTTCATGGCCCCACAACAAGAACCCCCAGGCCACATCCCCGCATCTGGTGGGGAGCACCGGCTGTCCCCTGGGAGGCAGGACTGCTGGCCTTCCTCACAGCTGGGCACCCGTTCCACTGTGAGCTCCATGGCAGGAGCTGACATGGCCTTTGTACCCTCCACTGGAAGTCCCTCAGTGTCACCGCAGGACCCGGCTGCTCTCGTTTCTGACCTTTGAGCCCAGCCTTGATCATGGGAGCCCTCGAGCCTTTGCATAGCGTGGACTGTCATTACTCTCAGGGAAACCCAGCAGTGGCCTCTGGGTCCCGTGGCATGCAGGCAGTGGACGGGGGGGACACCATGACAGTGTCGCTTGCCCATGTGCCACTGTCTCGCTATCTGCCGTGAGTGAGAGCGCCCGCTGCTCCCTCCCGTCCTTGTCAGCCTTTGCTTTGCCAGGTTTTTGCTCGTTTTGGTTTTAGCCCTTCAGTTAGTGTGAAGTGGTATCTTGTTGTTATTTCCATTTACCTTTTGGAACTGGGGATTGGACCCAGAAGCCCTTTGACTACCGAGCCGTATCTCTAGCCCTTTTTATTTTAAATTTTGTGACAGGGTCTCTTTAAGTTGCTGAGGCTGGCCTTCAGTTTTCAATCCTCTTGCCTTAGCCTCCTGAGTCTTGGTGATGGCACACGTGAGCCGCTGCGCTTGTCTCATTTTGGGTTTGAATCATGTTTTCCTAGTGGCTACTACTTCTGGTTGTCTTCTCATGAGCTTATTTGCTATACATTTATATTATTTGGCAAAGTGTCTGGTTAGATCTTTTGCCCATTTTTAAAAATTGGAGTGTGTGATTCTCATCATTGAGTTTGGGGAATTTTGCTTTCTGTATCCTGAGTCGATTCTTCTGTCAGAAATGTTGTTCACGATGTCCTTTCTCAGCACGTGGATTGTCTTTTCCTCCTCTTAACAGCGTCTTCTACACAACTAGCTTTTGGTTTTGATGGTCTCACTTGTTGAGTTTTTTTCACTGAAGGACGATGCTTTTGGCGTCAGCTCTGACCTTGGATGGGGTCATGCCTCGGTCTGGGTCCTGCTTCTTTGCAGCCTGGAGTCTGAGCCTCGGGGCTCAGGAGACGCGCCAGGGCTGCTCACCCTCTTGCTGGTTTTCTTCTCCCACCTGTGCGTGCTCATGTCCAATCTGCGGAGCGTGTCCCGTGACCTGAACACACCTGGCGCTTTCGCATCTGGGTTGAGGTCCCCCTCCTGTCTCTGTGACCTCCTCTCCCGCGTGTCTCTTTACCTGTGAAACCTAAGCGGGCGCCTCCTCAGGGAGTCTTGCGGTGTGAGCGGGAAGGACTTGGCAGCGACGTTGCAGAAAGCATCACTTTCCAGTGCTCCTCCCGCTTTCCGCCTTCTTTTCTGTCAGTGAAAACCTGAGGTCTGCTACGTGGCATGCGCTGAGGATGAAGTGTGTGTCCGCACTGAAGCCACAGAACCAGAGCAGACCCTTGGTTTTCAAAGAATCCGGAGTCTGAGGTGCTAGGAGACGGTGCTTCAGGGACGAATTGAATGTGAGATGGAATGAGCTGAACGCTCGAGAGATGTCGGCAGGGTGACCACATGTCCCCGCTCAGGTGAGGACACTGGCTGGGGCCTCTCCTTGAAGATGTGACCCCCATCCAGTTGTGACAGTGTCACGGTGACCCCAGTGGCATGTCCTCGTGCCGAGCCCAGCACTGGTGGACGTCTGCGGCTGCCGCACTGCCAGGTGTGTCGATGCGCTGGCACTGTCGGGTTCCGTCTGGATTGTGAGGCAGGGACACGCCGTGGGGGCTGCGGCTGGGGAAGTGTAGCCTCCCTCCTGGTGGACCGCACGGAGGAGGTCCCCACCGAGAGCTGAGAAGACCAACAAGTGGTTCCAGATGGTCACTGCGCCGCGGAGCCCCTGCTGCCAGGAGGGGCCGGTCCTCGGCTGTGCTGCCAGCTCCTCCTCCCAGAGAATACGGGATGTACGTGAGGGCGAGAGAGGTTATGAAGGAGCAGGCTACAGACGTGAGACAGTGCAGCTTTAGACATGACGCCTTTCAGAAGGGGAAGCCCTGCAGATGAACGCTGCCCACCTCACTTCCTCTAGTAGGACCCGGTCGGTCCCCGGAGGGCTCCCCTCAGCCCTGGGGGTTCTGCGTGCATCGTGATGAAGATGCCGTGGAGAGTAGATTGTTGTACCGTGGCCAAAACAGGGTGGGCTGGATGTTGCGCTGGCGGGTGTCAGGAATCCTCAGTGCAGTGGGTGCTGTGGGCTCTTGCCCGGGCCGGCCGGGGTGGTCTGTGAGGGTCCTTCACGCCCTGCCTGCCTTCCTTCCAGGGACCTCATCCCCATCGTTGCTGCTCTGGAGTACAATCAGTGGTTCACCAAGCTGTCTTCGAAGGACCTAAGACTGGTGAGTGGCTCAACATGTGGCAGTGTGTTGCTGAGTTTCAGAAACCTCATAGTTGTGGGGCTGGGACTGTGGCTCAGCGGTAGAGCCCTTGCCTAGGACACGCAAGGCACTGGGTCGGATCCTCAGCACCGCATAAAATAAATAAGTAAAGGTATTATGTCCAACTACAACTAAGAAAAATATTTAAAAAAACCTAGTAATTGTGTAAAAAAAATTTTTTTCTCTCATGTTGGTAAACTGCATCCATTTTATTTCTTGAGTAGATATTTTCCTGTAAGGGATTTGCATACCATTTTGTAAAATTTGTAATGGAGATGCTTCAGAGAAGTCCTTCCTCATGAACAGAAAGACACACTTAGTGTAGCGTTCAGTACGTACTCATTCCGTCGGCAAAAACCGTTGGCGTTACATCAGCACAGCTGCAGATAGTGAATCCGATGCTCCTGTTCTGTATTTCCTCTACATGAGGTTGCCCTTTCAAAAAATTTCAGGAGGCCCGGTGCAGTGGCGCATGCCTGTGGTCCCAGTGGCTCGGGAGGCTGAGGCAGCTCGTGAGGAGGATCATAAGTTCAAAGCCAGCCTTAACAAAAGTGAGGTGCTAAGCCACTCAGTGAGACCCTGTCTCTAAATAAAACACAAAATAGGGCTGGGGATGAGGCTCAGTGGTCAAGTGCCCCTGGATTCAATCCCTTGTACCCCCCCCAAACAAACAAACAAAGGATTTCAGGAACTGTGAAGAGGTAGAGTTGGTCTATATGCCTTTTCTGGGAAATTTACATGTAAGCAGAATGAAATTGGAGTGAAATCTTGTCTGTTTTCACAGGAGATGGGGAGAGAAATATTTGTCTGTTTTCCTGTGGGAACAGGATGCTCGGTTGGGGATCGTGCACGTTTAGGTAGTTTATGGACAGATACCAGGCAGCTTCCTGGTGCCTCAGTTTACAATGAGAAATAATTTAGATATTGTTTCATTGTAGGCTCCCATTTCAACGCCTCCAGCTTTCAGAAGGCATAGAACCTGGAGGTTTAGGAATTTCATAATGAAAAGATAGGTTTTGAATTGAAATGTGGATCTACAGAAGAGGGGGGTGGAGATGGGTTACTAGGGGACCACTTGATTCCCTGAATTTACCAGGATTGGGGCAGGTGTGAGTCTTTAAGCTGAACTCCTTTGGGGCCTTAGGACAACAGTGTGGCTTGGCGTCAGAATCCGAGTCTCAGTTGACTCTTCCCCAGCCTGTGTGACCTTGGAGAAGTTGCCACAGCTTCCTGCTTACCTATGACTGCGAGAGGGCTCCAGCTCATGTCTGGCTCCTCTCTACCCTGTGTTTCTCACGTGCACGGCTCGTGGTTGCTACTTGGTAAAAATTGGGTTAATGGATATAGAATAAGTTCAGTGAGTCAATGGATGAGTGAATACAGCCACGAAACTAATTTGTGGGTTGTGGAGATGAGTCAGTGATGGGTGGAAAACTTGTACCCAGTCCCTGGTGGGTTACAGGCATTTCATAGCTGTGGTTCTTGTTGTCACACCTGTGCCAGCAAAGAGGCCCAGAAAAGAGCTCGGGGCAGGGGGGGGGGTGATAGGGACTGGACTGTGGGAATTGTATCTTCTGGGCTGCTCTAGTGTCTGAGCCCGGATGGAGCTGAGAGCCAGGAGCAGGGCCAGGGATCCCTCAGGGAACAGCAGGTAGCCCCCAGGACAAACCTGGGAAGAAGCCTCTTATTTGCTGCCTGCTGCGTGGGGCCGTTCCCAGGACTGAACTAGCGGACCTTACAGGGGGAAAGAGGCGCGTTGGTGGAGTGAGGTCAGCCCAAGGGTCGCAGGATCAAGGGAACAGGAGCTTGCTAAAGTCAATTGCTCGTGACCCTAAGAATTCTAAAGAGACCGTGCTATCCTCCTGCTTATGGAAATCGTCCCACTTCAGTGGTACGGGAGCGTGTCCAGGCCCTTGGCACCGGCACCCCCTGCCCTTCAGCTGCCCAAGTGTGTAGCACGCACGCCAGGTCCGTTAGGTGCTGGTGAAGCAAAGCGAGCAGTGCTGTGTGCTTCCTGGGCATCCTGAAAGGATGGGAGGTGGCCGGTACCACTCTCCCAGGAACTGAGACTTGATCAGAAACCAATGTGTGCACATATTTTCAACATTTGATATTTTAAAATGAAAAGTGATCTTTGTGGATATCGGTGTTCAAGTCTTGAAAAGAAAATTCCTTATGTTTTTCACCCAAAAATAAAAGGAAGAGATGCTTTGTTCTCCAGTGGTATTGTGGTGGGCAATCTCAGAGCACATTTTAACGTGGAGTTTATTTGAAGGAAAGGATAACACAAAGAAGTACGTTGTTTTTTTTGGATTTTTTAAAACTTGAAATGCAGAGAAAAAACTAAGTGGTTTTCTCTCAAGTTACACGGACTACCTGGATCATTAAGATTTAATACAAGGGTTTCTGTGCTAAGGTGCTTCATGTAAAATATGACTTACATGCTCAATGCTGATTTTATGAAGCAAATTAGCAGCCACTAATCCTGATCTGAATAGAGGATTTAAAAGAATCCAACTGTGCGATGAGGGTTGTATTCCTGTCCAACATTCCTGATTTGTTAAAAGAGTGGTGAATTACCATCTGCTTCAACTTTCTCGGTTTGGTAACTCAGGCGGGTCCTTGCATCGTTTTGAAAGTCTTTAAAGATGATATGATTGTAGCAGGTAATGTACGTGGTTCCTTTTAGCCCTAAAGTTCCATATTTATTATTTTGTACTAGTTCATTTATGGCCTTAACTTGATCCTAGTTTTCTGTTCTATGCATTTGATTTTTAATTAAATGCAAGCTCTTGGCCACTGAATTTAGTTATTTTTTAATAGTTTTTTTTCTGAGTCAGGGCTGAGCATGCAGGAGACGTTTGAGAGAACTGTGGCCGTGGTCATGTTCTGCTCGGTGCCAGGTGTGTGTGCACCTAAAACGTTTCGTCTCTATTCCTCATTGTAGATGCTTTTCATGGAGTGATGCTCAGTAAAAGTGAGCCGGATTAGTGTAGTCAAGGATGACTTGTCACAACCCTCCCATGCTGGTGACTTAAGGAGAAGTTGGACACACTTTCCTGCACTCTCTGAAATAAACTTGTGTTACTATATTTATTGGTTAATTCATCAAAGCACACCAAACTTAAATACAGTAACACAAATTTGGTGTGCTTTGGTGAATTATCCTTCCTGATGCTCTGTGAGGTAGCTCAGAAGAGGCAGCACTTCGAGAAGGAGGATCCCTGCAAACACATGGCCCAGGCAACCCCTTTGTGCCTGGACAGCACAGGTAACCAGCTGCCTCAGGTGTGCCTCATGAGCAGTCTAGCTGGTCGGGGCCCCTGTCAGAAAGCCCCACTGTTAGCCTAATGCACACTGCAGCATCAGGTTGGCTGGAATCCAATTTCCTCTTCATCTGTCCATGAGGACACCTTAGAAGCCCGGGAACGGTGGAGAGAGGCACTGTGGACCTAGTGGAAGTGTGAAAGCATAGATGCCGGGGACTCGGGGTCTCCAGGTGAGGCTTGGCTGGAAACGTGTGGCGCAGGCCCCCTCAGACTCCTTCCACAGTGGTCAGTCCAGCTGGGTATTCGTGATCTGATAAGTGAGAGGACTGTTAACATTTTATGTGATATTTTAAGGCAAGAAAGTGCTTTGATTGTCGTGTGCCTGGACTCACACAACGTGCTTTCTCTTATTAATGCACAAAGGATTTAAATAGACCCCAGGTTGTAATGAGCTTTTAAAATAACTCTTAGTATTTGAAAAAATAACTTTTCTATATTTAAACAATGAAGGTCACGCGCTACCTTTAGTTTTGGAATAAGGCAGAATATATATAAATAAATATAAAACATACATAAAAATTGAAAAGAAAGAATCAGGTACCATTCTGTCCCTAGGATATGCTTTTCCAGGGTTCAGAGCTCATTTTAATAGTAATCTTTCTTTGGGGCAGATTGAACCCCTGGGCTCTGAACCACCGAGTCACATCCCCAATCCTTTTTTATATTTCGTTTAGAGACAGGATCTCACCGAGTTGCTGAGGCTGCGGGGAGAGCTTGGGAGCCTGCTCAGCCTGCGGAGCCCCAGGGCTGGACTTAGTTGCAATCTTGTTTCATTCTCTTTTTGCAGTTTCTTCTAACGTTGCATCCTAACCACTCCTCTTTCCACAGCTATGATCATCATGTAGATACAAGATGTCTTGAAAACGCATGGAACACAGGCCAGGGTTTAACTCTTTCCTGTCATTGAGCTCTTCCCCGTCCCCAGTTACAGTATGGTGGCAGCGTCACGATACCAGCCACCACGTGCTCATCAAGCTCCCGGTTAAAATGTGTGACCCCTTTCCACTTAGCTTTCTTACCTACAAAAAGGGGTTGGCAATCCTTAGCCAACATTCATCATGAAATGCTCCTGAAGGGCTCAGCACAGGGCCTGTCCCCTGGAGAGCTCCAGAGGACACGTCATGTCACTGACCCCTCACTCGCCATGGTCTTCAGCTCTCCGCTCTGCACCTCCGCTTCTTTGGGAAGCCCTTTGGGAGTTCCCAAGCTTGGGTGACATGGGCCTAAGGGATCTTGTACCCCTACCAAGATGGCCTCTATTATTTCACCTTAGTCGTGTATTTCTTTGTCTTAGCCTGTTGGACTGCCTATAACAAAACACCATAGACTGGGTCGCTGGTAAACAAGAGGAGCTTACTGTTCATAGTTATGGAGGCTGGGGAGTCTGTCATCAAGGCAGCGGAAGGTTCAGAGTCTCCTGGGGCCTGGTTCCTGCTGCTGGTGGCCCCTGCAGCTGTGTCTCCACATGGTGGGAGGGGCAGGCAGCTCCCTGGGTGCTCCTTTCTCAGGGCAGTGATCCTGTTCATGACTAGTCCCCTCCCAAAGCCCCACCCGCTACCACATGTTGGTTGAGTTTCAGTAGAAGTGGGGACTGTCGACATGCCTGGAACATGCATTCGACACAGGAGTGGGGGCTGTCGACACACTGACTGTGCGTTCTTGTGGTTGCTCACCCCTGTCACGGGTGCGCTCTACCCTTTATGTCCCTGCGTTCTCACGGTCCTCGTTGTGACAGTGTGAGTGGTTGGTGCACTTCAGGAGCTGTTGAGTGACTGGGTTCATGGGTGAGTGTTCTGTTTGCTCTAGACTTTGCATGACACTGCATTGTAACAGTGAGGTGGCTTTCTTTTGACTCACGGGATGGTCAACAAACGTTTCCGTTACAGTCTGCTGACGTCTGCGAACAGATCTTAAGGGTGGTGAGTCGGTCCAGTCGGCTGGAAGAACTGGTGTTGGAAAACGCTGGACTGCGAACGTGAGTATTTTCCTGAAGGTGTGAACGCGGGGCGTTAAGACTCGGGGGCATTCACTCTTTTAATCATCGCGTAGATCTTAAAACTCCGGCCTACGCATATGTTCAGTTCTCCTTGCTGGAAAAAGCAGAAAGCAATCCCATGCTGCCCTCTCTGTCACGAGGGCCAGGACTTGGCCTTTACTGTGCCAGGGAGGGTTGCTTGGTGTTTGTGGGGAGCCAAGGCTGGTGGTCAGCAGCGTGGACCTTGACCAAGAGCCTCGTCCTTGGCAGTCCCCTGGCTCTCTGTGACTCAGGCGCTTTGCTCTGGGAAAGGGTGACAGAGGTGCCTTCCTTGCAGAATGGCAGAGGCCAGGGTGGATGAGGGGACACGCACAGGGCACAGGACAGGGCCTACCCTGTGGTGGGGGCCGCTGCCACTCCCGGGATCATGGTTGCTGGCAGTGGTGACATGGCTCCGTGTCTCCTGAGGCTTTCCTGCTCTGCTTGGCTGGTTCAGTCACTTTTGTCCCCTCCTGTTGACCCTGACGCGGCCTTCACCTAGCGGTAGGGGTCACACCAGGCCTTGGGTTCAGAGCACGGACTGTGAGGGCAAAGAGTCCCTGTAGCCTGTGACAAGCGTTGGGTTTTGTCATCCAAGTTACATCAACCTGAATGCAACGTGCAGAGTGGTTTGTGTTTTGTACAATATAGTGATTGTAGCCTTTAGCTCAATAATCAAGTGATCAGTTTTATATCCATGAGTGTTGCGGCACATGAGAACTGAGTGGCCGCTGGAATTTCTATGAAAAGCAGGTCGAATCCAGGATTTAAAAAAAAAGAAATGATAAAAGATCAAGTAGTACCATTGATATCATAAAGCATGTGTCTTTAAAAGGGCAGTTGTGTGTGTTCTCTTTGCTTTTGAGTGATGTTTTGGTGACTGGATGTGAGCCGTATTCTGGCTGTGCTTCCTCTAATGAGTCATTAGTGGGGTTAACACATATGTGAGGTGCAGGTTGATACATAAAGGGGGTTTCTGTTGTTTAGACTTCACTATTTTCATTCTAAAATATTTCATATGAACAGTTTTACATCCTCTTTATTTACTCGGATATTTACTCTTACTGTTTTGTTTACTTGCAGAGATTTTGCACAAAAACTGGCCAGTGCCCTAGCACATAACCCCAACTCAGGGCTCCACACGATCGACCTTGCTGGCAACCCGCTGGAGGACAGAGGTACCGCAGCAGTCAGGGTTCCCTGGACACTGCGTCGTGGGGGAGAGGGGCTTTATTCCCACAAAGACGGGCATCAGGCTAAGTTACAATTATGCTACAAATGCTGATGATGTGGTTTTTGCTTCTAGTTCTCACCTTTTGAGAGAATGCTCATGTTACAATTTCATTATTTGATCAACTTTAAAAAAAAAAAGATACAAAAAGAAGGAGAATATTGTTGTTAAAATGGTTTATTAGTTATCTATTGCTGCATAACCAATCATCACACGTCGGGTGGCTTAAAACGAGGTGGAAATGTCACCTCAGGGCCGGGCGGGATCTGGGTCTAGGGGCTGCTCTGTGCCCGGCGTCTCGTCCAGGGCTGAAGTGTGTTGGCAGAGGGGGCTGTGGCTGCTTTGGCCAGGGTCCTCCCCGAGTTCCTGGTTGTGGCAAGTTTATTTCCTTGGGTGCAGCACTGTTTTCTCGCTGCTGCTGATGGAGGCCACTTCCTGCCCCTGGAGACCGAGCTCAGGCCTTGCCCACAATGTGGCACTTCTCCCCGTGGGGCACAGCGGGAACACAGCTCTCTGGTCACCAGACCAGGCAGGCTGACCAGGGCAGTTTCCCTGGTGATGAATTTAGAACCAACCCATGAGTCACGGAGGTGGTGAAATCCCGTTTTTTTTGCGCCAGTCTCGTCCTATTGTAGGTGCTTTCCAGTGTGGGGACCTTGGAGGCCATCTTAGGGTCCTGCCACCACAAATACCTTTTAATGTTTAACTAAAGTGTCAGGCTAAGGGGAGGGTGAAGGCTGGGGCTCACTTGGAGGAAGAAGGCTTCAGTAGATGAGGGTCGCGGGGTCAGAAAGGGGAACCTGAGGCTCGGTTCTCAGAACGTTTCCTGTGAAGATGCTTCTTGGCTTGTTGAGTAAGGGCCTTTCCTCTTCCCATGTCACAGACCTGATGAAGATTGATTATTCCACTGGACAGAGGGACCGAGAGACAGTTCTGCTTTTCCTTCTTGGTGTGGTCATTGTTTTGCACTTAGTGTGAGACCTGGTCCGTAGTCAGTTTACATTTTCTTTAAATTGAGTTTGATTTCACTGAGTCTTCATTCTTGTATGCAGTTTTAAACACCATGGTGAAGTTGATGGAGATTTCATTTCCTCTTTAGAGTGAGATGACGTCAAAGTAGCATTTCTGTGCTGCTTCCTGCCAGGCTCCCCC